TAAAATTAAATGTAAAATTATGAGTTTAAATCTTAGAAAAAATAAAAAATAACCACCTGAGGCCTAAAGGGGGAACATCATTTAATGCAAAAATGCAAACACACTTTATGAATTCTTTAAGCATCTGTAGAGATTATTTGGAATAGTGATCCACATTATTTACACTTGGGTTGGTGACTCAGGGATGGACAGAAACATGATCTGAAATAGTTATAAAGGAAAAACATAGATACAAGAGAGGCTGATGAGAGTGTGGTGTGAGTAAACTCTGCTTGTGGGTACCAGGAAACACGGACAGAGAGGAAATAGCACACATGCCCTGCTGGTGCTGCCGGAAGCCAGGTGTCTGCGGCCCCTTTCAGTGAGAGGGACCTCCCCTCCTCTGACAGTGCCCTTGTTACAGTTCCCAGCTGCCCTGGCCCCTTTCTGACACCATGAATAGTTTTAGAAAACTGGAGGCCTATCATTGAGATGCCTACATGTGTCAGGGAGGCAGGAAGGTTTTGGAGTTTGAGGGCAGTGGGGGACACTAGGGACTCTCCTGAGATGGCTCCAACCAGCTGAGAAACCCCTCAGGGCTTCCAGGGGAGTTCAATCATCAGGGGTCCCACTGGATAGGTTTGGGTTGCAATGCTGACAGCAAGAACCCCCTCCACCCACGGGGGGGTTTAGGAGCTGTAAGGTGGCTTTGGGGGAGCGCAGCCTCCAAAGCAGTGTCAGGAAGTGGGAGTTGAGTCTGCACCACACCCTGGGCTCCTGTTCTCAACCTGCTCACCGCCTGCACAGGGGAGAAGGAACCTCACCCCACTCTGCTCTACACCGCTCTCCTCAGGGGGCTGTGATTCTGACCCACAGTCCTTTCTCACTGTTTAGAGTGGCTGTGGCCGGGCAGGGCTGACTCAGCCACACACATACACACACACTCTGAATAGGCAACTCTCTGAAATAGAAATCATTGATTAATTAAAGCACCTATGGGATTTTTCACAAACCAAACCAGTATTTTTATTAAAAAAATATTTGTTTCATCTTCTCATTTTTCTTTTTTTTTATCATGTGAAAAACATGCAGGATTGTTGCATAGGTACATACATGGCAATGTGGTTTGCTGCCTTCCTCCCCCTCACCTATATCTGGCATTTCTCCCCATGTTTTCCCTCCCCAACACCCCACGCTCCACTGTCCCTCCCCTAGTTTCCCCCACAGACCTCAGTGTGTGATGCTTCCCTCCCTGTGTCCATGTGTTCTCATTGTTCAACACCGCCTATAAGTGAGAATATGTGGTGTTTGATTTTCTGTTTTTGTATCAGTTTGCTGAGAATGATGGTTTCCAGATTCTTCCATGTCCCTACAAAGGACACGAGCTCATCATTTTTGATGGCTGCATAATATTCCATGGTGTACATGTGCCACATTTTCCCTGTCCAGTCTATCATTGATGGGCATTTGGGTTGGTTCCAGGTCTTTGCTATTGTAAATAGTGCTGCCATGAACATACGTGTGCATGTGTCCTTATAATAGAATGATTTATAATCCTCTGGATATATACCCAGTAATGGGATTGCTGGGTCAAATGGAATTTCTATTTCTAGATCCTTGAGGAATCGCCACACTGTCTTCCACAATGGTTGAACTAATTTACACTCCCACCAACAGTGTAAAAGTGTTCCTATTTCTCCATATCCTCTCCAGCATCTGTTGTCTCCAGATTTTTAATGATCACTATCTTAACTGGTGTGAGATGGTATCTCAATGTAATTTTGATTTGCATTTCTCTAACGATCAGTGATGATGAGCACATTTTCATATGTTTCTTGGCCTCACATATGTCTTCTTTTGAAAAGTGGCTGTTCATATCCTTCACCCACTTATGAATGGGTTTGTTTTCTTCTTGTAAATCTGTTTTAGTTCTTCGTAGATTCTGGATATTAGCGCTTTGACAGATGGGTAGATTGCAAAAATTTTTTCCCATTCTGTTGGTTGCCGATTCACTCTAATGATTGTTTCTTTTGCTGTACAGAAGCTCTGGAGTTTAATTAGATCCCATTTGTTTAGTGCTATTAAGCCTACATAGAAAGAGGCCTACTTATGTAATTGGTAAGAGTGTGAACTGATCAACTTTGTGGAAAATAATCTGCCAGTATTATTAAAATTATAATTAAATTTGTCACAGCTCAATTATACCATTTTGAGAATCGTATATGACATTAAAAAAAAACATTGGTGGGATCTATGTATATTGATGATTATTGAAAAGTCATTAGTGGTGGAAATTTTAAAGAACAGCCTTAGTATCCATCCAATAGAGAATAAAGAAATCAGAACGAATCTATAATATGAATGACTACACAACTGAAAAGAATACATTAATCTACATTAGTTGGAACTAGTAATGTCTACCTTGTATTGTAAATGGAGTAATTAAATCACTATATGATGTAGGATTTGAGAATATTCTTTAAAACAAAAGAAATCAATAAAATTCTAAAAGGACAAACTATTGAAAGCCCATCACAAAATCTAGAAATGATTTTAAAAAACTGAAAATTTGACTATGTAAAAAGAAAAGTTTTTCAAAACAACAATATGAATGAAGTAAAAGTTATGATACAGACCTTAAGAAAAAAATCAGTTATTATATGGAAATAATAAATGTGCAGAACATATAAAGAATATCACTAAATGAATTATAAAACTAGTAAAATGTATCATTATGAAAATCACAGGGAGAAATACAAATGGCCAATATACATACACAGATATGCACAATCTCACTAGTAAGTGGAGAAATCCAAATTAAAAGTAAAAATATTTTAAATCATAAAATTGGCAAACATTAACATTGATAATTTCCTGTGTAATTAAGGGTGTGGGGAAATAGAAATTCTGATACACTGATGGTAGAAGTATAAACCATTGATTTGTTTTTGGAACACAGATTTTTAATTTTCATCAAAATATTAAATATTAATTTTTGCAGCAGTATTTTATTTTTAGAAATCAATCATAAGAGGAAAAAACCACTTAACAAATGTGACAAAAAGGTGGATACACAGGCGTGCCCAGTACAGCTTTGGTAACAATAACAAATAACTGAAATTGTCATAAGCATTTCTCAGTGAAAAAGTGACCAAGTTATGGTAAAATATTCTTCTGAATAATGATGGAACTAAAATTCATAATAAGAGAGACCTATATGTGTTGATTAGCAATAATCACCAAATTAAATCTTATATGGAAGCCAATCAGGGAACAATACGCAAAGCAAGATCACATCATGGAAACATGTGCATATTTATCTGTATGTAGGTGAAAGGAGGTTTTGGGGTGGCCTGGGAGCTGGTAGGGATACATTTATTCTATAGACCTAAGAACTATGTGAATTTTTATAACAATAACAATTTTTATAACAATCGTTTTTAATTAATCACATAAGAAACACATGTGTTTAACCCTATATAGATGTATGAATATGTGGAGATAATTATTATTCTTCTAAATAACAAAATAAAACAGCAATGCAATGTCACAAATAGATAACAGTACAATATTAAATATTGTAATATCATATCCAATGTTAAAATTACATACATACACATAGATACAGGTAGGGCTGCCAACAAATGGTTTTCAAGTCTAAAACATTGTGGTAATTGTTGTAGACCTCTGTGACTATATTAGAAACCATGGAATTGTACACTGTGTGGGGGTGAAATTTATGGTATTTTAATTACATCTCAAAGTTTTATTAAAAAAAAAGTGGCTTAATATTCTAGTATTAAGTAAAAATTGGTTTTATTTAAAATATAAATTAATAATTTCCAGTAGATCCCCTTAAAAGATTATAGAAGGGATGTCCAGATCACACCCACCCCAACCTCTAGAGTTTTTGGCTATTTTCCACAGTCTTGAATTGAATGAGGTGAAGGAGGAAAAAAGTGTTTAAGAAGTTAGTGGAGAAGTTCTTAAGTTTAATTAGATCCCATTTGTCTATTTTGGCTTTTGTTGCCATTGCTTTTGGTGTTCCTGTCATTGAAGTCCTTGCCTATGCCTACGTCCCAAAAGAAACAATCACTGGAGGGAACCAGAAACCAATAGAAAGGAAAAAATTTTGCAAGCTACCCATCTGACAAAGGGCTACTATCCAGAATCTACAAAGAACTAAAACAAATATACAAGAAAAAACAACCCCATCAAAAACTGGGCAAAAGGTATGAACAGACACTTTTCAAAGGAAGACATCTATGTGGCCAACAAACATATGAAAAAATGCTCATCATCACTAGTCATTAGAGAAATGCAAATCAAAATCACATTGAGATACCATCTCATGCCAGTTAGAATGGTGATCATTAAAAAATCTAGAGACAACAGATGCTGGAGAGAATGTGGAGAAATAGGAATGCTTTTACACTGTTGGTGGGAGTGTAAATTAGTTCAACCATTGTGGAAGGCAATGTGGCTATTCCTCAAGGATCTAGAGAAAGAAATTCCATTTGACCAAGCAAACCCATTACTGGGTATATACCCAAAGGTTATGAATTGTTCTATTATAAAGACACATGCACACTATACTCATTGCGGCACTGTCTACAATAGCAAAGACTTGGAACCAACCCAAATGCCCATCAATGATAGACTGGATAAAGAAAATGTGGCACATACACACCATGGAATACTATGAAGTCATAAAAAAGGATGAGTTCGTGTCCTTTGCAGGGACATGGATGAATCTGGAAACCATCATTCTCAGCAAACTGCCACAAGAACAGAAAACCAAACACTGCATGTTCTCACTCATAAGTGGGTACTGAACACTGAGAACACATGGACACAGGGAGGGAAACATCACACACTGGGGCCTGTTGGGGGTGGGTGGCTAGGGGAGGGATAGCAGGGGGTAGGGAGATTGGGGAGGGACCACATTAGGAGAAATACCTAATGTAGGTGACAGGGGAGGATACAGAAAAACCATGTCATGTGTATACCTATGTAACAATCCTGCAAGATCTATACATGTACCCCAGAACTTAAAGTAAAAGGAAAAAGAAAAAAGAAGTCAGTGGGTGGTGACTTCCTAAAGAAGAAAAGAAGAGCTGGTGATGGTTGGGGCAGAGTGGGGAGAGATGCTCCTTTCAAATGGAAGGCTCTGGAACCTGCCAAAAGTAAGCTTAAGCCAGGACAATCTTCCTGCAGAGCCTCCAGAGAATGGCTTCAGATCCGATGCTCCTGCTGACATCCACAGATGGGGGCATCTCACTGGCTTTTAAAATCGTCAACTTTTTCTACATCAACACAAAGAAATATTGAAAAGGGGAATTCTGGTTTACAGGCACTTCATTAAATTATCCACAAACAACTTTTGAAACAAAAGCTATAAAAGTGAAACTTGGTAAAATTATCCTATGCTTAATAAATACTCTTCATGGCTCAGATACAGTTCAGGCAAACCAGCCGTGGATGTAGCCCTTGCCAGGGGGTAGTGGGGGTCCTCGTGTGCTCCAGGAGGCCTCTCTGGTGGGTCTGGCAGCTGCTCCCTTCAGTGCTGAAGCCCTGTCTTTGCTCAGCTGGGGGCATTTATTTTGCAAACCTCAGAATGTCATAAGCCCCATGAAGACATCCAAGATATTCCTTAGAGTTGTCTGAAACAAAGAAAGATCAATTATTCTAAAACCTGAGACAGAGAATTCTGATTTCAGCTGATGCTGGCTGTTCCTCATCAAGGCAGCACACACTACTGAAGAAAGTGAACATCCCTTGAAAGTGGAAGAAGAAACCCTGAGAACATCATTAAATTATAATTAAATTTTCTTATGTGAAAATAGAAAACTTTTGTATGACCTATAATTCAATGCAGTACAAAAGATGTATGGCAAATAGGAAAAAAAAATTGGCCTGGCATAACGCAAAGGTTTTAATATACTTAATATATAATGTCTCTAAAAATAGGGAAGAAAAGACTACCAACAATCCCATGTAAGCATGTCAGAGACATGAACGAACAGTTTGAAGAAAACAAAAAAGTGGCTTTTAATCTCAAAATATAAAAAAGTTCAAATTAAAACTATACTGAAGAAACCACTTCAAGACAAATTTTTAGAAATTCCACATGTAACGATGTTAGTGTGTCTGTGCACACATTATTGCTAAGAAAGCATGACTCAGCACCTGTGGGGAGGAATTTGGCAACATTTAGCAAGCTACATAAACATTTTTTAAACACTTTGTCACACTATCCAACATCTCAAAATCTATCCCAAAGTAGACTTGCAAAAATTTGAAGAATCATCCACAAGAGAATTGGCTGAAATATGGGAAAATGTAGAGCATAGTTCTAAACTCAAATCTCTATAAGAATCACAATGAAATTAGATAATACTAATAAATAATAAAAATTGTGTAAATTGAAAATTGGGAGATGTAACAAAGAGCATTATGTGAGAGCAATCTATGAGATTAGTTATTAACATCAGAAACTTGACACTTTGGGAGGCCAAGGTGGGAGGATCACTTGAGGTCAGGAGTTTGAGACCAGCCTGGCCCACATGGTGACACTCTGTCTCTATGTCTTTACTAAAAATACAAAAATTAGCCAGATGTGGTGGTACACACCTGTACTCCCAGCTACTGGGGAGGCTGAGGCGAGAGAATCACTTGAACCCAGGAGGCAGAGATTGCAGTGATTTGAGATTGTGCCACTGAATTCCAGCTTGGGCAACAGAGCAAGACTCTGTCTCAAATAGAAAAAAAACAGAAAAGAAAGGCTGAAACTTAAGTATACAGCTTAAGTTAGAAAAAATAACATCGGAAGAAATCCAAATAATGTGACGGAAGGATAACAGATGAGAAGAGAAATTAATGAAAGAGAAAATAAGGACAATAGTAGGAAGGGGAAACAGAGCCAACAGTTGTTTTTGAGAAAATTATACTATCAAGAAAAAAGAAATCACAAAAGTTTATATCAGAAATTACTAGAAAGACATAATGACAGAGGTAGCAGATATTACAAAACAGACAAACAGTGGATATTATGAACAAATTTATGCTAAGACATTTAAGATGTGTACAAAATAGATAAAATCCTAGAAGGCATAATTTTCTAAAATGAATTCATGAAGAAATAAAAATCCTAAATACTTCAATAGCCATTACATAAATTCAATTAGTAGTTAAGAAGTATCTTTCATTTCTGTCTTTCTCTCCCTTTCTTTACCCCATCTCCTCTCTCTCTCTTAGTCTCTCTCAATCTCTCTCTCTCTCTTTCTCTCTCTCTCTCACACACACACACACACACAAACACACACACACACACAGCCCTATTAGTATTATTAGCTAAATACCAAATTTACAATGGAGTTGGCATTCAAATTTGATTTAAATATTTCCATAAAATTGATAAAAGTGACTACTTTCAATTAATTTGATGAAAACACTATAATTTTAATACCAAACAAAAAAAAAATTAAGCATAGAAAGAAAAACTGTGCACCGATCTTATTCAGGAGCACTGACATAAACTCTCTAAGAGAGTAGGAGACAATGACCATGCCTCAGATTTGAAGAATCAATACAAACAATGCAATTAGTGTACAGCTCAAACAGCATATACTGAAGTGCTTAACCTTATACCTAATATTTAAAAATATTTGGAACACACAGAGCCATGGGAGTGGCTTTTGGAGATATTTTCATGAAGGAAGAAAGATTACAGCTAAGTCTAAAAATACTATTATAGTTGTTTGTTTGCTTGTTTTGTCTTGGAGAGGAGGTGAAAGTGGGAGTAAAAACAGGGAGCTTGGAGTAAGGTGGGAAAAGCGAAGAAACCTGCAAGGATGGGCTGAAGGGTGTGCTGGGAGAACAGTGAGAAATATATCTAGGGAAGAAATTGGAGATGCAGGTTTAATCCCAAGCTATCCAAAGGCATGTACTGAAGAATTAATGTGTGACTAGGAACAGGGATGTTATGAGACTTATCGTTAACCCAACAGAGGGCAGTCAGTTTCACTAATGAATGAGGACTGTGAGGACAGACAGACTGAGGGGCAGGCAGATGAAGGCAGGAATTTAACAAGAAACAGGTCCACTTGATTGTTGACAAGATGCTGTTTTAAAGTTCCATTTTGCCACACATGGAACAGCTTTTCCCTAGCCAAATTTAGTGGTATGTAATATCTTTAAACATAGGCAGATACCTAAAGTTCCCACATGAAAACCAAATTTAAACCTGCTGTGACCCACTTCAACACCATCATTGGAAGCCAGAAGTTGAGCCCTTTTCTGAGTTTAAAACCTTCATAATATTCAGCGTATTATTATTTATGTATTTATTTCCTTTGTGATAGAAATTTTGTTTCTCCCAATTTTCTATTTTATTAAAACATTGCTACATAGAAATCCCCCTTGGAAATTTCTCCTAATGTGAGAAATATTTTACATAGAAGACTCTAGAAATGGGATGAGATCCATGGGTTAGGAGAATTTTAAAATAGATAGGTCCACCAATTCCACAGAAATACAAACTACCATCAGTGATCACTACAAACAAATCTATGCACATAAACCAGCAAACCTGGAAGAAATGGATAAATTCCTGGAAGCTTAAACCCTCCCAAGACTAAACCAGGAAGAAGTTGAATCCCTGAATACACCAATAACAAGGTCTGAAGTTGTGGCAGTAATTACTAGCTTACCAACCAAAAAAGTACAGGTTCAGATGGGTTTACAGCTGAATTCTACCAGACATACAAAGAGGAGCTGGTACCATTCCTTCCAAAACTATTCCAAACAATACAAAAAGAGGGAATCCTCTCTAACTCATTTTATGAGACCAACGTCATCCTGATACCAAAACCTGGTAGAGACACAAGTTCTCACTCATAGGCAGGTGTTGAACAATGAGAACACATGGACACAGGGAGGGGAGCACTACACACTGGGGTCTGTTGGAGGGAAATAGGGGAGGGGCATGGGGAGTTGGGGAGAAACAGCATGGGGAGAAATGCCAGATATAGGTGATGGGGAGGAGGGCAGCAAATCACACTGCCACGTGTGTACCTATGCAACAATCTTGCATGTTCTTCACATGTACCCCCAAACCTAAAATGCAATAAAATAAAAAAAGAAAAAAAAAAAAGAAAACTTCAGTCCAATATCCATGATGAACATAGATGCAAAAGTCTTCAATAAAATACTGGCAAACCAAATGCAACAGCACATTGAAAAGCTTCTCAATCATGATCAAGTAGGCTTCATCCCAGGGATGCAAGGCTGGTTCAACATACGCTGCCGGGCGCGGTGGCTCAAGCCTGTAATCCCAGCACTGTGGGAGGCCGAGGTGGGTGGATCACGAGGTCAAGAGATCGAGACCATCCTGGTCAACATGGTGAAACCCCGTCTCTACTAAAAATACAAAAAATTAGCTGGGCATGGTGGCGCGTGCCTGTAATCCCAGCGACTCAGGAGGCTGGGGCAGGAGAATTGCCTGAACCCAGGAGGCGGAGGTTGCGGTGAGCCGAGATCGCGCCATTGCACTCCAGCCTGGGTAACAAGAGCGAAACTCCGTCTCAAAAAAAAAAAAAAAAAAAAAAATACGCAAGTCTAAAAACGTAATTCACCACGTAAACAGAACCAAAGACAAAAACCACATGATCACCTCCATAGATGCAGAGAAGACCTTCTACAAAATTCAACAGCACTTTATGCTAAAAACTCTCAGTAAACTAGGTATTGATGGAACTTGTCTCAAAATTATAAAAGCTATATATGACAAACCCACAGCCAATATACTGAATGGGCAAAAACTGGAATCATCCCTTTTGAAAACTAGCACTAGACAAGGATGCCCTCTCTCATCATTCTTACTCAATATAGTATTGGAAGTTCTAGCCAGAGCAATTAGGCAAGAAAAAGAAATAAAGTGTATTCAATCAGGAAAAGAGGAAGTCAAATTGTCTCTATTTGCAGTCGACATGATTGTGTATTTAGAAGACCACGTTTTCTCAGCCCAAAATCTCCTTAAGCTGATAAGCAACTTCAGCAGTCTCAGGATACAAAATTAATGTGCAAAAATCACAAGCATTCCTCTACACCAATAACAGACAAACAGAGAGCCAAATCATGAGTGAACTCCCATTCACAGTTGCTACAAAGAGAATAAAATACCTAGGAATACAACTAACAATGGATGTGAAGGACCTCTTCAAGGAGAACTACAAACCACTGCTCAATGAAATAAGGACACAAACAGATGGAAAAACATTCCATGCTCATAGTTAGGAAGAATCAATATCAGGAAAATGTCCATACTGCCCAAAGTAATTTATAGATTCAATGGTATCCTCATTAAGCTACCATTGACCTTCTTCACAGAACTGGAAGAAAACCACTTTAAACTTCATATGGAACCAAAAGAGAGCCTGAATAGCCAAGACAAACGTAAGTACAAAGCACAAAGCTGGAGACATCATGCTACCTGACTTCATACTATATTACAAGGCTACAGTAATCAAAACAGCATGGTACTGGTACCAAAACAGAGATATAGACAAATGGAACAGAAGAGGGGCTTCAGAGGTAACACCATACATCTACAACCCCTGATCTTTGACAAACCTCACAAAAACAAGCAATGGGGAAAGGATTCCCTGTTTAATAAATGATGTTGGGAAAACTGGCTTGCCATATGCAGAAAGCAGAAACTGGACCCCTTCCTTACACCTTATACAAAAGTTAACTCCAGATGGATTAAATATTTAAACATAAAACCTAACACCATAAAAACTGTAGAAGAAAAACTAGGCAAAACCCTTCAAGACGTAGGCATAGGCAAGGATTTCATGACGAAAACACCAAAAGCAATGGCAACAAAAGCCAAAATAGACAAATGTGATCTAATTAAATTTAAGAGTTTCTGCACAGCAAAAGAAGCAATCATTAGAGTGAACTGGCAACCAATAGAATGGGAAAAAGTTTTTGCAATCTATCCATCTGACAAAGGGCTAATATCCAGCATCTAGAATGAACTAAAGCAGATTTACAAGAAAAAAAGAAACAAATCCATTCAAAAGTGGGTGAAAGATAAGAACAGACACTTTCCAAAAGAAGACATATATGAGGCCAACAAACATATGAAGAAAGGCTCATCATCACTGGTCATTAGAGAAATGCAAATCTAAACCACACTGAGATACCATCTCATGCCAGTTAGAATCATGATCATTAAAAAATCTGGAGACAACAGATGCTGAAGAGGATGTGGAGAAATAGGAGCGCTTTTAAACTGTTTGTGGGGGTGTAAATTAGTTCAACCATTGTGGAAAACAGTATGGCTATTCCTCAAGGATCTAGAAATAGAAATTCCATTTGACCCAGCAATCCCATTATTGGGTATATACTCAAGGATTATAAATCGTTGTATTATAAAGACACATGCACAAGTATGTTCATTGCAGCACTGTTTACAATAGCAAAGACCGGGAATCAACCCAAATGCCCATCAATGAGAGACTGGACAAAGAAAATGTGGCATGTATACACCATGGAATACTGTGCAGCCATAAAAGAGGATGAGTTCATGTCCTTTGTAAGGACATGGGTGAATCTGGAAACCATCATTCTCAGCAAACTGACACATGAACAGAAAACCAAATATCACATGTTCTCATTCATAGATGGGTGTTGAAGAATGAGAACACATGGGCACAGGGAGGGGAATGTCACAAACTGGGGTCTGTTGGGGAGTGTGGGGCTAGGGGACGGACAGTGGATGTTGGGAGGATGGGGTGGGATAACACTGGGAAAAATGCCTGATGTAGGTGATGGTGGGATGGAGACAGCAAACCACCAAGGCATGTGGTAACCTAAGCAACAATCCTGTACGATCTGTACATGTACCCCAGAACTTAAAGGACAATTTAAAAAAAGCAGGCAGAAAGTGAGACACACATGGTTTTGGTAAAAACTGAGAAATAGATCATTAACCCATCTATATGGTGTGTTTAATAAAAACAACTTTTAAAACAAAAACAAACAAACAAAAGATAGGTCCTCCAAATTGCCCTCTTACAAATCATAGAAATTCACATGCTTCCAGCAGTTACAGCAATGGGTGTTACCACCCCCATCCTCATCAGCACTGAATGTTAAGCACGAAAATGTGTGTCCTTAACTGAAATGTCCCTTAACTGTGTGTCCCTTAACTGAAATGATTGGTACCAGAAGTGATTCAGATTTGGGTTTTTGCAGATTTCATAATATTTGCATTATATATACTTAGTGATTGAGAATTCCAAATCCAAAAATTTGAAATCTGAAATCCTCCAGTGAGCATTTCCATTTAGAAGCTGAAAATGTTTTGGGTTTTAGAGCATTTTGGATTTCAGATTTTTGGATTTGGAATGCTAACCTGTATTAAACATCTAACAACCTGAAAGACACAAAACACACCTCAGTTTTTTATTTTGCTTCATTCTGGGCTTTAAAAATTTCTGTGCCAATGTTCATGCTGTGTGTGAAATCCTGCTCACCCCCAAACAGGTCCAGCCCAGGTGATAACTCTGCTGTGAAGTCTTTCCCATTCTCATGGGGAACACTATTTATTTACTTCCTGATACCCAAAAAGAACAGTGCAAATATTCCTCTCACTTGCATTGTGACTTTTTAAAAAATGTTTTTATGTGGAGCTCATTCTCTAATCCTTTATTCCTTATTTCACTGTACAGATTAGGTGCAAATATTATTTGGTTCGATGACTGAATGATACCATCAAGAAAACCTTAATCCTCCCAGGAACCTTAAAAATAAGGTACAATCATAATATTTTTATATTGATTCAAGGGATTTGTCTAAGATCACAATTCAATTCAGTATCCAAGCATTCTGACTCTCAAATCTGTGCTGCTGAGCACTGTGCTATGTATAAATGTCATAGATCATAAGAAATAGAAATACCTGAGTGCAGAAATGTCCTCTGTATTTACACACTTTGGTGAGCATTAGGAAATGGGGCTGCTGAAATTGAGATGAGCTTGGAAGGTCAAAAGGAAGCATTCTGTTACCCCAGTGAAGTAAACATTGTGGTTTGCTCATTCTAACATGGAAAAAAAATTCTAATGTATTTATCCTTTAATTAACTCTTCCAAAAGAAGAAGCAGGAAGGCAGCTGCAATTAAAGGCTCAAATGGAAGTATTTTTACCTAATGGAAGAGTTGCCCATTTTGGGAAACTGTGCTAGAAGGACCCAAACAATGCTGATGATAATTATCAGGATGATAAGTAATCTGGGAAGGCAACAAAGTGATGTAAATCTTAGACAAGTCATCATAGGCGACTCCATTGTGCTTCAGTGCTTGCATTCACTCTTGTGCTATTTTCTTACTTTTACCAAACAAAACATAGCTCCTTGACATCCCATGAACCCATGCTATGCCTAATGAGCATCAGTTAGTAAAATGCCCATGACTAGTAATCTTCACCTATACAATTATTCATTCATAAAATAGTTCAAATGTAAGCAATGAATGTATTGAAAAGTACATAATACATTGATTAGAAAAAACACTATTAAAAAGACATTATTTTTATGATAAAAGAGATTACCATTTTTGTACTTTTTCACTAACAGAAAACTAAGCTTACATAGGTGAATTCTAAAAACTTCTAATTCAGAATGCTGAGTAAATTGGCCAAAAATGCTAACCTACCCATTTCAATATTACAGGATTCATACAGATAGAAATAACGGAATAAAATACTGGTAAGCAGTATAGTCCTATCTGTGGTTCCTGAGGTCCAGGGAGAATGAGTTCACCACCTTCCCACCTCACACTAGCCAATGTTTTTTCCATGAGTAATCAAAACAGCAGAATTTACTTACCTGTTCATAAAAGATCATCACTTCTGTGTGTTCTCCTGAAATAGGTGGTGGCTGGGTGAAAAGGGGGACAGCATTAGGGCAGGAGATGGGGGCTCTAGCATCTTGAGTGAGCTTCTGAAACCTCTGCAGCTTCCAGCCACTAAATGGGATAAGCCATGGAAAGCTTTAGCCCAATGCCCAGAACAAAGTCAGGGTTCAGTGCATGGCCTGCTCTCCTCATTTTTCTGTCATCAGCAGCTGTGTCCTGTGCCTCCCACCCACTGGGCTCTGCTCTTCCCATAGCATGTGGAGTAGCCCCCAGAGCCTGGCCTCCAGCTGCCCTCCAGGCCTTGTTTCCTCTCACTCTGCCACGGGCTCCTCACCGACCCGCCTTGCTCCTGGGTGTCCTCAGAAAACACCATGTACTCAACTGCATGCAGCCTCACTGCTCCTTCCCCGGAGTGCCACAGGGCTCACCTCTTCAGAAGGACCCCACATACCTGGAGGAAGGACACTCCCTTCGCTCACTCTCCTCTAATTTTTGTAGCAGCTTTCCTTCCTTCTGCTCAGTGCAGCACACGCTGATGAATCCTCCATCTTCCCCACAAAGACAGGAATAGCATGAGCAGCAGAGAGTAGATACTCAATGACAGAAAATACAGTCATCGATTTATCATTTAAATTTATCAAATTTATCATCAATTAAATAAAATGTATGCTAAAGGTCACATACCTCCTATGAGACCACTGTATCTTCTGCCTCCTGAATTTCAGTCCGGCACCTTCCACAGCAACCTGTCATCCCTTAGCACCATTCCTCTCTTATTGCCTTGGTGCAGAGCCAGGACCATGGCCAGGTAAGGCCTTGGGACTGTCCCTCCCCAGCTACCTGTGAAACAATCATGTCACCAACAAAGCACAGCCTTACCAATTGGTAGTCAGTGCCTCCCAACACCTATGTCCCTGCAAAGGTGGCAGAACCCCTTCAAGATTGGTCTTCCCAGGCATTGCACCTCTAGGTGATAGGGCATGTCCTTACCTCAGGCCTGGGTGCCCAGTCTATCCCATCCAATAAGAGAGCTGTGGAGAAGGAAAGACTCCAGTTTAAGGGGAGATTACTGGGGTTCCTACTTCCATCCTGCCCCAATGGGAAGGCTGTTAAAGAAACAGCAAGTGTAAAGCTGGGATGATAGAACGTGTTTTCATTATTTAAACCAATAAACTCCACAGTTTGGAACAACAAAAAGAAAAATGGTACATCCAAGCCATATTATTTTTATCACACTTAGCTAAAATATCACTTTATCAATAGGACCATTTTTTAAAAGAGTCAAGATCCAATTGTTTTTCTGTTAGAATATTCACCAACATTCCTTTTCACCTGATTCATTCAATTTTTAAAGAACTCAAAATTGAATAGCAAGTGTAGCAAGACAATGAATGAACTGCAGCTATGCACAGCCACATGGCTGACTGTTCCAAACTTATTATGAGCAAAAGCCTCCGGAAATCAAGGAATACATCCTGAGTTATTCTATTTAAAATAAGTGCAAACTAAAAAGGAGCAAACTTTAGCACACGAAGTTGTAGTGGTTATCTTTGGAAACCAAGGACAGTTTTCGAGTACAGGTAACTTCTATTTTTTGACCTGACTTGTAGTTACATGGGTGCTCATCTTGTGATAAATCACAGAGCTGTATTATTTAGGTTTCATGTATTTTCTGTATGTATGTCATACTTCAGATTTTTAAATGTTTCACAAAATACTATGACAATATATGGTCTATTGAAAATGCAGGAGAAAAAGGAGACTCTGTGGTCCATTCTTTCTATCTGTCACCTGCCAGCCCCTGGCTTTAGGCCCAGGTTGCTCTAGCTGTCCTGGGTTGACTGAACTCTTGCAGCAGCCTCTTGGAATGAGTACCTTCCCCGACTCTGTCCCTTGGTAACATCGGCCCATCCTTAACAGCTGCAATTGATAAACTCATCTGTGTTAGCGTGTGGATGATTCATCTGTTTCCTCCTTTATGTGATGTATATAGGGACATCTGGACAGTGCATTTGCCTGTCAGAACAGGTAATAATTTCATCCCTCATGAAAAACACAAATGGAGTTTTTTGAATATGTGGTTGAACATCAGGAGTGTGAGCAGAAGTCAGGTACAATCAGAGACACTTCAAAGGAAGAAAACTATTTCATTTAAAAATAGGGCCCTAGTTTTTGTATGTGGAAACAGAACCTAAATAACTTCTCCTTTCTCTTACCCTACTCTAGCACTCTGTAGTTAGTTTCACTGGAACCAACCACTGAAGCCTCTAATCCACTTCTCCATCGGCACTTCCCCAGGAGAATTCTAGGCAGAGCCCAGGGGCCCCTCGGCAACCCCCTGTGAGAAGGAGCTCTCTCTCTCTCTCTCTCTGACACCTGTTTCTGGACCTTAGTGTGGAAGTCCATGGAGAAGGGGTGCTGCTGCTACTGAGGTTATAGGTCAGAGGCTCATGAGAGAGGCCACCCTGACCTCCTAGTCCTGAGGCCAGCAGAGGGTGCAAGCACTGGCTAATGGCTGTATGCTATGACTTATGAGGCATAAATACAAACCAAGCAAGTATTTTGTTGATTTCCCAAGAAAGCTTCTATTTTCTTCACTAATCATAATGATGGCAGAAAGTTCATTTCCAGGAATATTTTCAATAATTGATGTTACCCGATGAGTAAATTAAACTATTACAAACAAACTGATTCCAGAGCAGTGAAAGTCAATTCAGTTCTCTAGCTGTCTCATGGGGACCAAGAAGTGGCAGTGCATATTCAAATACCTACACAGACAGAAATGTCACCAGATGCAGCTAGTCCATCTTATCCAATTCACATTTACCTCATTATACCTCAACCTCCAGTACCCTCTGCCATACTCTATGGACTTCCTCCAGTCCAAGCCACTCACCAAAACGGGACACCCATACCCAAATGACTCTAAAAATCCAGCAGGGAGGTTGAAGAGTGAGGTGAGCAGAGCAGCAAACACACCAAATATCCCTTCCTTTGACTGCTGCACAAACTCTTCTGTCCCTCTGGTCTTTTCTAGTTTTTCATGTTTCCTCACACCTTAGAAACATTCCTCAGAGTTCATACCTTGAAAGAGAGGCCCTTGGTTCATGGCTTGCCTGTGTACAGAATGGGGTTGATCATCCCTGGCTTCCCTGTGAGGAACATGAGCAGCAGCTTCAGGAACTCCCCACTAATGCAGGCAACCTTCATGTGAGACTCCTCCATGCCTCATAGGCAGTGCTGTACAATACACTGCCAGGAACACACAATACACTCATGAAATGACCAACCACAGGGGATTTTAAAGGTGAGTGTCCCTACCAAGTGTTTACTAATACAGTAAGAAATGGTGTCATGGCTGCTGGAAAACAATGGACTTTGACATTAAACATGGACTTGACTTCCTGGTCCTCTTAGGTGAGTGTTTCACCTCTAGAATGTCAGATTTCTCATCTCCAAAGCAAGGTTACCTCTTGCAAGTCCTAGAAGAAAACCACAGGCTAATCTTCCTCAGGAGCACAGATGCAATAAACAGAGTAGAAGTAGAAAGCACTGATCTTTAAGTCAATTTCAAGAACCAAAACCAAACCAAAGAAAACTAGGCAATCAGTGTATTGTGCAAGATGACATGGCATATTGCTAAAGCTTTTCAGTGTTTTTAAAATATTAGGGGAAAAACAAGCTCTGGGAATGGCTGCTAGAGAAATATTTATGAGAGATGTCATACTAAAACCAAATATTAAAGGGTAGACAACTTTTTTTTTTTTACCTCTTGTGTAAGTGGTGGAAATATTCTAGTAAGCTTGTTATGAAGCACAGAATCCTGCCTGCCTGACTGAGCTGGAGGGGGCGTTGGGGGATAGCAGTCCACAGTGTTGGAGCAAGTGGGCTTGATGCTTATCACAGTCAATCAAGGTCAACTTATGAACACTTTAATATGTGACTAGGAAGAACAAGGGTGTCTGGAATCCATTATCACCTCAGGAGTTGGCACCGAGTTCCATGGTTGGATGATGAGTGGATGGACAGAGAGATGGACAGGTGGATAAGTGGGTAGGCTTGACATGAGTTAATGTTCTTGGCTTCTGGGAAGAAGAATTTTTAAAGTTTCCATTTTCTACAATCTAAACAGCTTCCTCAGAAGTTGAATTTAGTAGCATTTAAAAATCATTAAACCAAGACAAACATACAGAGTTCCTACATGTAACCAAATGCAGGCCAGATATTACCTACATTGCACTACAGCAGAGGCAGGATTGGACCCTGGCAGTCTGACACCAACACCTGTGTTCTTCTGCACTGTGCCATAGGAGACAAAAACATTTCAAAAGAAATACAGACCAGGATGGTCTTGATCTCTTGACCTCGTGATCCACCCGCCTCGGCCTCCCAAAGTGCTGGGATTACAGGCGTGAGCCACCATGCCCGTCTCAAAAAAAAAAAAAAAAAAAAAAAAAATACAGACTAGAATATGTATGTGCTATGTATTTACACACACTGATGACAATCAGGAATTGAGGCTAACGACATCTGGGCTTTGAGTCATATAAATAGGCTGGGAAAGTTGCATTTTACTACCGTATTGAAAGAAACGACTTATTTCTCACTCCAGCAGGAAAAGTGTTTTTCAGCATTCACTTACCTGCTCATTGACTCTTTTACTATAGACGGGGAGATGATAGGCAGGAGAATAGCCCCAAATGGAGGCCCAAGGTAATAAGCAATTGACTCAATGTAATGGAAGAGTGCAACATTCAGAGATATCTGTACTAATGGAACCCACATGATGTGGGTGAGAGCTATTAGGATGAGAAATAACCAGGGAATGCAATTAAATATTCAAGTATTAAACAGAACACAATTGAAATCTCCATTGCACTTGAGTTTTTGAAGTGATTCTTGCAGTCATCATTGCCTTTCCCAAACAAAGCAAGCTACTTCATTTCACATGAACCTGTGCCACGAGGAACGGTGATCAGTTTGTAAAATGTCAAGAAAGCAACTGTTTGTCTATATTAGTCACAATATTTTATCTATGTTTTTCAATTTTTTATCTAGGTATTTCAATTAAACATGTGTAAATTCTACAGTTCAAATGTTAGAAATTATTATCTAGTACGATATTCATAATATATCAATAAGCAATAACTGCCACATTACTTCTCTTAAGAATTATTTGATGAAAAAAGCAGATTCTCATTCTTGGATTTTTCTCAGTTTGCACACATTACTTATTATGACAGTCCCATGTCCATCAGACATGTGCCCAGCAGAAGGCCAGGAACTGCAAGCTTTTCTTATTAACTTAGATTTCTAAATGTATTACATATTTATGGTTAGAAATTACTCTAAATATTTGAAAGAGTTTGAAGGAAGTTTTCCTTCCACTCCCAACTCCCAAACACCAAGTCAGCATTTTTGTTTGCATATCATCCCTGCATTGCATGTGCAAATACAAACATGCACCAGAAGCACATGCTTTTTCATGGTTATATTTATACAAAGTCTTCTGTAGCTCTGCATATATCACTGGTCAATGCATCTCAGCTACCATTCTGCATTTCAATTGTAAATCCATCTCATTATATAAGACCTATAAAGTAATCTTGCTATTTAAACCATGCTACAGTGAACAGCCTTTTCTGTGTCACTCCTGGCGCCCATGCATGAATGTATCTGGTGAAGCATTCCTGGAAGTGGGATGGCTAGAAAGTTACATTATCTTTAACCCTGGCAGAATGAAACTGCCTTCTGAAGAGGTCATGTGAGTCAACAACACCCTGGCCATAATTTTGGATTTGTGTTTCCTTCTAAGTTTAATCTATGTGACATGAGTCCTAAAGGCACTGAGTATTGCAGTCTCAGGGGCACAGCTCAAATTACAATTTTATTACTTCACAAAATTTCAATAGGTTAGTATCCTCTGTTTGTAAATGTTAAAAGGAAGCATTACAAAATATTACAATTCAAAATGATAGACATATTAATTTTTTTTTAAGAGACAAGAGTTTTGCTCTGTTACCCAGACTGGAGTGCAGTGGTGTGATCAGTGAAACCTCCGCCTCCTGGTTCAAACAATTCTCATGCCTCAGCTCCCTGGGTAGCTGGAATCACAGGCATGTGCCACCACATCCAGCTGATTTTATATTTTTAGTACAGAAGGGGTTTTGCTATGTTGGCCAGGCTGGTCTCAAACTCCTGGCCTCGAGTGATCTGCCTGCCTCAGCTTCTCAAAGCGCTGGGATTACAAGCATGAGCCACTGTGCCCAGCTATATTAATGTTTTTAAATGGAAAATGTGTGCATTCCTTAGGATTAAATAAGCTACCACCAATGACTTATCTGCTGGAGATGCCTAATGGTGTGCTGAATTTTATTATGAAAATTGACATGATTAGAATAAGATGAAATTTCTTTTTTTTGTTACAATTTAAAAATAAAAGGCTATTCAAACGAAAGACTAACCAGAGTAATTCAACTCTTAGCGAGAGATAAAACTAAAGGTTGACAAGGATTTGGAGAATTGGCTACTCTCAAAGGCTGCTTAAAAAGCATAATTTGATATAACCATTTAGGAAAAAGGTTGGCATTATTAATGAAAATAAAAGATAGGTACCCTTCCCATAATCTTCTCAACAGAAACGGGTGCCTGTATTATTCAAAAACATTGACAAAAATGCTCAAAGCAGCATTATTTGTGATAGCCAAAATTATTTGAAAAATCCTCATGTCCATCAATAGTAGAGTGGATAAATTACAACAGTGCCTGCAGTGGAATACTATATGGTGAGGAAATGAAAGGGCTATGGCTATGCTTAACAACATGACTGAATCTCTAAAACAACGGGAGCAAAGAAGCCAGACACCAAGCAACAGATATTGACTATTCCATGCAGAATTATCCAAACCTGGAGAAGTCTAAACAGGGCATTAGAAAACACACAAAACGTTAGTCAGTTACTAAAATTGCCTTCTGCTTGGGCTATTTACCCTTGTGGAAGAAAGACAACAATGAAGATGAATAGGAAAGAAATGAGAAATGCCTTTGCTTAGTAGCTAAAGGCTACCTACTATAAGACAAAACTGTATACAAATGGTCTTGAATTCTGCATGCTGTGATTCAGTGACAGAGTTCCCTTACTCTCCTGTCTGGCTTCAAGTCCAGCCACATCGTTGCTGTCTTCTTTACAACTTGCAAGATCATGCTGCTACTACATGAGATTATCTGCTGTATGACATTTACACTTGTTTTAAAGCAAAACTTTATTTCACTTAGGCTAATGACCATGCAGGGTACACTAGCCAGTCAACAATGAGATGGCTCCTCATAGAGGAAAGCCTAGGTTGAGGCTGAGGGTCCTTAATCCAGATGAACAAGAGAGTTGTTACGAGGTGACAGAAACCACGCTGAGTGGTGCAGAGAGTTCTTAATCCATCCCTCTCTTCACTGTTTTTAGCTGGCAGGATTTGAGCATTTTAGGGCCTGTGAACGTTACTAAATCTACTAAAATATATCACCAATCCTTATAGGCTTTGGCCAGCTGCTGAGCAAAATAACTTCAGAACTGTCAGAACTGTCTTATGTGGTCCCCACATGTCTTAGGACCTGTGAGCTGACCCAAAACATCCGGAGATCTTTGTGTTTTTGACACTGGAGACTATGCTGGTCTGCAGGAGGATGTGCTTATAACTGCTCTGGGTTATGTGACCATGGAAGTCACTTTATGGTGATGGGCAGAGTCTGGGATCTCTTAGCCTCAGTACTTTAGGGCTTGTACATGAATGCCAGACTCCCTGCATGGTGATGAACACCCTATGACTGAGGCATAATTGCATGTCAGCAGATGACGGCATCAATATTGGGCCACACACTTGAGCTCATATTTTGACTTTTTCATTCAGGAGCTCAAAAACTGGGGCCACTCCCATTGGCCCTTCAGATTCTCCACCTGAGCAGTGGGGATAATAAGGGGTGGCTCTGGCATGGGTGAATGAGTCACTGTACAGAGAGAGTAGAATGGGGGTGTATTTTACTTTTGAGAAGTGGAAACTGGTAATTGTGATGTGTAAACTGGAAATCATTCCTGAGAAAACACACAGCATCCCTTGTACAAAAATATACACATTCGCATCACACAACACAGACTCATAAGGCACCACAATTCTCAATAGCACAGCCCAGTGCTCCCACAGAAGTGCAGCTGCTTTATCATATGGAGACATTTTGCCATAAATTTTGCCTGGAGAATTCAAGTTTTTTTTTTTTTTTTTTTAAAACAAAACAAAACAAACCACTTCCACTATCCTTATTCTGATCAGAATCACAGAATCAGGGTGGCTCTTCACATTGAAGCCAGCAAGAATGCCACACCTTTCTTGGCATCCAGACCTTTTTTTCTTATCAAGTAATTCCAGGGTACTTACTGGAGTCACACCTCAGAGGGGCCACCTGCACAACCTGCAATACAGAAACAAAGCTTTATGAGGGGCACATCAAGTTGTGGATTGTTTGCACATGGCTGTTTCTCTAAAAGAATATTAAAAACTGGATCAGAAACTAGTCAACTCCAAGGCCCCCAAAACAAGGGTAAAATGCACACTAGAAAAGACATGAGCTTTTCCTGGAAGGTGTATCTCTTAGGTCCATTTAGGATGCCAAGTGCAAAATGCTTAATCAAAGAAGACATTGCTTCCAAGAATGAGGACCCCAAGGGTGCAGCCTATCACCTGAGGGCCATCATATGTAAATGCCAAATCTCAGTTGCTAACAGTCTTCTCTTCTACCACCCCAGGAAACAGCATTTAATATCTATAATGCACATTGTCATTTTTTCACATGTAAAGTTAATTGAAAAGGGAACCAAGAAAGGGACGTGTCTATTTCAGGGAAAGCAAGGCAACCTCACTCTCACATCAACTGGCCTCTTTTCATCTCCTCTGCCCTCGTGAGCTGGAAACTCCTGCGGGGTTAGTAGGACACAGAACACTTGTCAGTCATAGATGCTTCTGTTCATTTGGCTCCACCCCAAATGTCCCTTTTTGGAGGAAGCCACCATTATGCTGCGCCTCCAACATGTCCACACATACTGGCATCTCATTCACGCAAGGTGTGTGTCCTCCAACAAAGTTTCACACTCTAAACCCAGATAATTTTTGAAATCCGAGTTTTGTTGATTCCCCCTACTTAAGTTGCTCATTTGTCTTCAAAACACTCCCCCGATTAAACTGCCAAAAATGTCTTGCAGAATTTGTATGTTAATTCTGACATTTTGTTATTACAAGTGTTTTTATGTCTTTGTTATTAATATTTATGTCTTTGTTATTAATAAAAGTATATAACTAGTAACGCTGTTTTCAGCTATGTTTCCAAGAAAATTTATATAAAAATAAATTCTTAGATTATTTTGAGAATTTGACAAAGACAATAACAATAATAATCTCATTTGCTTTATACTAATATTTACATGTGTTACTTTATTTCTTACATGCTGGGGCTTAGCATACAGTGTACAATGAAATTGGTACTGTGCAGCATGGGAGGAATAAACATTGGCACAGCTAATTTAGAAAATAGTTCTCTTGTTTCTTAAAAAAATTAAATTTGAAGTTACCATTTGGTCCAGCAAGTCCACACCTAGGAAATGCCCCAAGTGAACTGAAAGCATATTCTCCAAAGTCATCTGTACAGACATGTGTCTTTTAATGACAGTGATGTATTCTAAGATACGGATCATTAGGTGATGTAGTAATTGTGCAGACATCATAGAGTGCGCTTACACAAACCTAGATGGCACAGCCGATGATACACCTAGGCTGTATGATTACACCTAGGCTGTATAATACAGCCAATTGCTCTGGGCTTTGACCTGTACAACATGTGATTGTACTGAATACTGCAGGCAAAGGTAACAAAATGGTAAGCTTTTATATATCTAAAATCTAAATATAGAAAAGCTACGATATAGTATAAAATACAAAAATTAGTACATCTGTGTAGGGCACTTTACCATGAACATAGCATGCAGGACTAGAAGTTGATCTGGGTGATTTAGTGAGTGAATGTGAAGGCCTAGGGCATTACTGTACACTACTATAGACTTTATAAACATTGCACCTTTAGACTACCCTAAATTTATAGAAATATATTTTATTTATTCGATAATCAACAAATCTTAGCCTACTGTAACATTTAAAATTTATTATCTTTTAAAATTTTATTTTTTGTTTTTGAGATGGAGTTCTGCTCTTTTTGCCCAGGCTGGAGTGCAAAGGCATGATCTTGGCTCACCACAACCTCCGCCTCCCAGGTTCAAGTGATTCTCCTGCCTCAGCCTCCCAGGTAGCTGGGATTACAGGCATGTGCCACCACATCTGGCTAATTTTGTATTTTTAGTAGAGGAGGGGTTTCTCCACGTTGATCAGGCTGGTCTCAAACTCCCAAACTCAGGTGATCCACTCTCCTCGGCCTTCCACAATGCTGGGATTACAGGTGTGAGCCACCACGACTGGCTTAACTTTCAAAATTTTAAAAGCAACTCTTATTTATTTATTTTTTTGGAGATGGAGTTCTGCTCTTGTTGACCAAGCCGGAGTGTAATGGCACAATCTCGGCTCACTGCAACCTCCACCTCCCAGGTTCAAACAATTCTGCTGCCTCAGAGGAGGAGGTGGGATTAATGGCACCTGCCACCATGCCCGTGTAACTTTGTATTTTTAGTAGAGACGGTCTTTCTCCATGTTGGTCTGGCTGCTCTCGAACTCCTGACTTCAGGTGATCCACCCGCCTCAGCCTCCCAAAGTGTTGGGATTACAGGTGTGAGCCACTGCACCTGGCCAAAAACAACTCTTTTGTAATACCACTTATCTTAAAACATACACATTGTACAGCTGTGCAATTTTTTATATCACTATTCTATATTTTTTCTATTTTTAAATTTAAAAGTTTAAAATTTTAAGCTTTATTATTAACAGCTGAGGCTCAGACACACACATCAGCCTAGGCCTACACAGGATCAGGATCATCAGTGTCACTGTCTTCCGACTCCACTTCTTGTCCCACTGGAAGGGGCAGTAACATACATGGAGCTGTCTTCTCTTATAATAACAACACCTTCTTGCACATATCCTCAAAGACCTATTTGAGGCTG